ATTATAAAATAATCTGTGGAAACTATGTGGGTGATAACAGTGATTAATAGGAAACACATGTAGATGTCTGGGGTTTTTTTTGTTCCTCTGTTGGCTCTCATGACAAAGTCAGCCTTTACTTTTTGGAATTGGTAGATGAGATTCACTATAAAACAAATTAGGGAGAAAAGCACTTCTGCCATGAATCAGATCCATAAGAAGGTAATAAACTCTGGAGTTGCTGAATAATTATAATGCTAGGATCCGTAAATTATCCTAATGTCTTCCATTGTTTTATAGATTGCATATGTGCTGAAAATTAGTGGTTTAGTTCTTTGCTTTAAAATAATTTTTCATACATTCTGTTTCCATACCAAGAAAACTCTTATGTGTTGCAATGTTGAGGGCATGCATATGTGAATGACTTGTTTATAACAGAGATTTCAACTAGCAATCTGCAGGAGCTGAGTGACTCCTGGAGAAGGTTACCTTGATTCTCCTGTGTTAAACAGAACATGTCTAGGAGTGCTATGTATATTTTAGGTAGTAAGCTATTCATTTTGCTCTCTCAGAATTATTATTATTTGAAATACAGGTTTGATTAAGGGGATAATTGAGTAAATTCAGAGTATGGCTGGGCAAGAGAACATGCTGCTGTCAAATGAGTACATGTGCCACCCTCCAGGGTAAAGGAGAGCTAACATAATCTAGGTAATTTGGGTACTTACTAGCTCTGATTCAGTGCAGCCCTTCTAAATCAGGTTACCTCTTGCAAAGCAGCTATTGAGTATTTTTGTGGTGCTTATAGCCACAATTTTGGGTTATGGGGATACTTCTGTGGGATACGATGCCAAGTCCTGGCGCCAAACCTGGTTTATAAATCCTCCTGAAATACTGCAACATAACGTAGAAAAAGAATCTCCCAAACCAATCACTGCTACTGTTACTACCCCTTATCGTACTCTCAGCCCTGAGAGCCGCTGCAGCCTGGAGCAGTGCTTGGAACTAGTCCAGGTTGAAAATGGCTGGCTAATCAGCCCTGATGGACTCCTCGCTTTACGTGCCTGTTTGCTGGAAATGTGGTGAAGAAACACAAAGCTGTTCCTGTATAAAGATCTGGCAGGATTTACTAGTTTAGGTGCCTTGCTGTGAAGGTGGCTCCTGGACCTAAACTAGCTTTGGAAACAGGTGGATGTTTTAATAGGCTGGTTGGACTTGAGCTAGTTCTTGTATTCTGGATGTGGTCATAAAGAATTGTGCAATAAAATCATTGCTGTACTTCAAATTGTGTCCAGTTGTCTTTGTATCTTAATCCACAAGTAGTTACACTATTTAAGAGTATTCATTCTCATGTTCTTCTGCTGGGATTCCTTGTTAAATCCAGAGTAATACTAGTAGTTTGTCATGGATGCAGAACTGAGGAGGCTGTGATGGGCTGGCTTGGGTGTTTGTTTCTGATTTGGGTTTAGATTTCCACAGGTGTAACAAACCTATACAGAGATTCAGATGACTAAATTTAGTCTGCAGTTTTTTAATTAGGTAGAGGTTCTGTAAAATGATGATTCAGCAGGTTTTGGTCAATCTCGTTTTATTTCTCTTGTTGCTGCAATATAACTAGCCCTTATGAAATATACTACTTCAACAGAATATACTACTTCTACAGAAATCAAACTGCTTTTACATGAACACGATGTGTCTCTTCATGATTTCTAGTTGTTTGTATTCTCTTAACAACAGGTCCTTCTAGCTGCTTGAAATGTAACTTTTGAGGCACAGGTAGCTCAGTATGATTAGAACCTGCAGCATCATACCATTTAGCTCTTTAAGGTTTGTCTGCTTTTCCAGCCTTTGTTGTTATCCATTCATGCTTGAGATTGCAGGGTCAATTCTAATATTTATGAAGGAATTGCATTTCTTCAGGAACCTCCTGGGACTTTCTTCTTTGTTTTGTTGACGTTGGTTTTGTAAACTAAAACAGAAAAGGGAGAAACTGCAGTGCTGAAGTTTTAACTGTAGGACGTTAGGGACCAGTTTTGGATACCTAGGACTATGTGATTTTTAAGTCAAGCACTTAAGCAACCCTTGAATTTGAAAATAAATATATTTGAAGCTTGTAGCGCTCAAGGAAAGGGAATTGTTGGATTCTTTGGACTGTCTAGAAATACTGCATTATAAGTAAGCTTCTGCAGAGTAAAAGGTTTACTGAATTGTGGTGTGAATTATGTGCCACTTGGCAGTGTAGACTCGAATGATGGCTTTTGTTGTAATGCTTGCTAGTAATTATGGATAGTGTAAATATGTAGTGTAATTATGTTTCTATATACTCTACTGTAAATTCTGTAGTGTGTTTGTGTTATGGTAATTGGAGTATTCTTCATGAACTATGGTGCATTGTGAAAGAAATTAAATGCTTAGGGAGGGGAATTGCCATCATGAAATACTAAGAAGAAACAGATCTCTATTTCCAGATTATATGTGGACTGGTTTAATAATTTATAAAAAAGTAGATATGAGGAGGTTCCATAGCTTAAAGTGCTGTCATTGGAACCTGAAAATCTGGAGGTTTTGAACTAGTGGGGAAGAATGGAGATGTCTGTCTTGTCCTTACGAGATTTGCTTGGTGCTCTGTAGCAGTATATGGGTAATGTGAATGTGATATGGGTACTGTTTTGCTGTTTTGTTATATCCACGTGTGATACATAAGAGTGTATGCAAGGCTGAACCGGCACTGAACTAGGGAAGGCACCAACAACTTGCAGTACGGTCAATAAGGAGAAATGGATTTGCCAGATTACAGGGGAGTGTGGGAAGGGGAGAGGCAAAACTCCAGAGAGTTTAAGTGACAATGAAACATTTGAGAAGGGGGGAGAAAGTGGTGGGGGGAAGTGCAGAAGACTGTTTATATGTATAAACTCAGTGGTTTTGCAGTATCTTCTATGGCTGCTTTTGGTACTAGTAGGACTTCTGGGGTGTCAGTGTGAGAAGTGTGTCGGTGTGGAGTTTTTCTCTTGATACCTAAAAATAGCTATCTTAGTTAGTCCTTTTCATTAAGGAAGCTTTTGGTTTTGTAAAACGCACATGCTTAACTATGCTTAAGATTGAATAACTTTATTTAGACATGTAAACCACATTGGAATTCAAAATAACAACTTTAAGCGTATAAATCAATCATGCAAATAAGGATATCCAAGGGCCATGCTGTTTCTTGTACTTAGTGCTCCAGGAAGGGATGACAGACAGGCTAATCTTGATAGCATTTGATCAAAATAGATTACTGACTTAAGTTGCTGAGGTGTACTTACTAAAAAGCATTAAAATCCCTCTACATGGTTGTCTGTGCTAGTGCTTAGGGTTTTTTGGTCTTGCTTTGTTTTTAATGTGAGGCTAATGTCGTAGTGGTAAAATAAAACCATTGTGACTTTACAGAAACAATAATTCCAATGTGAAATGCGTAGTGACTCCAGGAGGTTATATGAACTCTCAGATAGTCAAGTATACAGCAAATTCAGAAGCTATTTAAGAGCTGCTCCTAGAAAGAAACTTGGAACTAAGTGGCGAGTTGATTTTCCTTCCTGGTGGTAGGATTAACTTTTGCAAAGTTCAGAAAAATGTCAATAAAAATGACAAAAAAAGTAAGATGCCTAGTAAGTGACTCCTGTGCTTGTTGTACATGTTTGGTATACTTACTTGAATATGTATTTCTTGCTGTATTATTCAAAATATTGTTTAACTACTGCCTGTTGCTGTTTCTAGAGGATTTTTTTTCCTGGCCTTGTTTCTTCTGAATGAGCCAATAGTATATGCAGACTACGGTACTAACTTTAATTTGTCATACTTGACAGCCTTAGTGCTACTTGCAAATAAAATTTCATTTCACAAAGAACAAAATTTCGTGTTCATAAACTAAAAATACTTTAAACTTCACATACGTGAATACTCATATTCTAAAAGAACACCCTTTTTAAACAACGTATTCTCAGTTTTGAATGCTGAAGATGGTATCAAATATTTCATAAAGATAACTTTTAAAATTGGTAAGCATTGGAAATGTCAGACTGTCAGTATAAACAAGTTTTACTGACACATAGCTAATATAATCTTACACGGTTTAAGCAATGGCATGCTTTCTTAAATACTGAAAGGGAGCTTATAAAAGGAAAGCAAAATGGTGAAAAACTACTTGTTTCTCGGGTCTGTGCGTATCTTACTTTAAAGGAAAAGTATTCTGAACTCTGAAAACATGTTGAAGACCAATGTAATTAAATGTGTGTAACTTTTTCTTCAAGGTAAGGATGCATATGAGTTGTAAGTAGACTTCTAACTTCAAACCTAGCTGTTTTATTATTCCTGGTAAAATGTTGGAAATGTTTGTCCCCTTTGTATAGTTCAGATTTGACTAAAAAATGTTTGGCAAATGCATATAAATGAGGATACAATGGATTAGGAATCAAACATGAGCCTGCTTAAATAATTCTCAAGATTTTCTGGTTCACGTGTAGTGATATTGAACTCTTCAGTCATAGGCTTTAATTTGTGCATGGTGCTGACCTGATGCTGTGCAGGGACACTCACTGCATCCCTTCATTCAATTCACTCTAATTATCCCCAACTTCCTGGGGAGCCTGCTTAGAACTGGTCATGAATGTTTGTTATTAAGTATTAAGATATTAGACTACCCTGGTTACATGTAACAAAGTAGTTTTTAGTCTGAATTTACATATAGATGATCAGTATAGGAAGCTGAAATGATATTTGTTATGATTTTATTTAATCAAATTCAAAATAATATATTGGAATAATAAAACATTTTGACAGTGACTTAAGCTCAGAGTTAAATGAAATGAGATTTAATGTTACTGTGTGAGTTATTGTATGTCAATGTTGATAATTTCAGTGTGTATTTTAGAGTGGTTATGGTATGTAAATTCTCTTTGAAACAATCAGATTTGTGTGCATATTTCAGGATGATGGTAATTATTTTTGCTGGGAGCATCTGTTAATGCAGAATATTGCCTCTTCAGGTTCACGTGAAAATGGCGGACGAAGCTGTCTGTGTTGGCCCAGCTCCCACCAGCAAAAGCTACCTCAACATGGATGCCATCATGGAAGTCATTAAGAAAACCAGGGCCCAAGCTGTGAGTCTGAATGAGTCTATCTGCTGCAGCTGTTTCATATATAGAAAGCAGAAAAGCCAGAGTTTGTATTTTTTTTTTTTTAAAGGTGTGGGGGGGAAGTGATTGAATATGCTATTCCAGTTAGTTCATGTCACATGAGTTAAATGTGTCCGAAATCGCTACTGGAAATCAAAGGCTTTGTAGCATCTGGCAGCACTGGTCGCTGATCCTGCAGGTGGCTGCTGGATTCAGCTTTCACACCAGGGAGCAGCTTCAGTTCATTTCCAAATTTGCTGGGGGAAAAAAAATCCCAATTAGTTTTGAGCACTAACCCTTTATATGCCATAATGGCTTTTTTGAATGTTTTACAAAGTCTGTCTAAAAAGGCTTTTGCTTAAACGTAGTTTGACTCACTTCCTAAATTATGTAAGTGTTATTTGCAAGAAGGTAAACCGTGCATCCCGTAATTATTTTTGTTTCAGAATGTTTACAAAATGCGTGTTAGCTTATATGGGCTATTCTGCCTTTCTCCCATCAAATTAGCCAGAGATTCAAAGCTTAACAGGAATCGGTTGGAAAAAATGATGTGTAGTCATGTTTACATGCTTAATTTTCTTTGTTCTGTCAGTGAAATAAATCTATTAGTTGGAGCTACTGTACACAGAGCATTTATTAAAATAAAATTTGATGGGTGTATATGAGCAACACTAATTACTCTGGAACAGTTTGGATCAGCATTGTGAATTTTTTTCAAAGATGATGTTTTGGTATAATGCTTTCAGGGGCCAAAAACTTTCCTAAAAAGAAAAAAACTATTTCCTTCCCTCTGAGTTTCTGAATATGGAAGCCAGTTGTTTAGGCTTTTTGGAAGAGGGGAATAAAATGACTTATACTTTGTCTATTGGAGTATATTGCATCAAGAATCTTCTGTGAATTGTGAAAAGTAAAATTAAAACACTCTCCCACACTCCCCTCAAGTAATCATGCTAGGTGTATATTGGGGTGTGAATAGCAATCTAGGCATATAAGGATGCATGACTTAGACTAAGGAGACAGTAAACTCTCTTCTCCAGCAAGGGTCGCTAGAGGTAGGAGGCTTGTGACTGTGGACCCCGAGACCACTGTTGTGATCAGTGCTAGAAATATTTTGGGGTGAAGAGTACTTTATAGTGGTTACTGAGTATGGATGTGCATATATGCGGAAGCCTGCAATGAGATAAATGTGGCAAAATGGAGTTAAAAGGAGCAGAAGGCAAAACACCAAAGGGAACATGTCCATTGCTCTGCAAGCAGCACCTTTCTCCCTGGTCAAGTAAGGAACATTTATTTCAGAAATGGCAGTTTAACTAGCGAGTCTTTACAGCTTCACTTAAGACAGATAAATCAGTGTTTTAAGACAGTTCTTTAAGGTACTAAACTAATTTAAATGCTTAGTGGTCTACTTCACCTTCCCCAGTGTCTGAAAAGGTGTTGGCAAATTTGGTGCCTGGCTTCAGAACTCAATCAGCTTGAATTTTTTTTTTTTTTTTTCAAGGTACACCCAGGATATGGATTTCTTTCAGAAAATAAAGAATTTGCTAGACGTCTGGTAAGTTATTTTTGTTTGCTTGGCTGTGAGGCACTAGGTGGCATATATTCATTCCAAGGTATCTGAGGAATCAAGATAACAATTCAAGGCAGATCTAAAAGATACCTTAAGATAGGATACTTCAGAATGCTTTCTGTGCATGTGGATTTCTTGCATTTTGAGGGTGTAACTGGAGCCCGTGTTTTCTTTCGGGAAAAGGGGAGGTGCCTGTTTGTAAGAACTTTACCAAGGATGTAAGAAGCTTTTGGCATTTTCACTTGTGCCTGTACTGTTTATGAGGCTGCTCTGTAAAACTGGGTCACTGAAATGATCTAGGTTAAAAGTATCTGTTTTTAAGTGATCATTTTGGTGATTCGTAGCACAGCTGGTGAACAGCTGTATCAGCAGCCCTGAGAAGGTGCTGAACTGCACTTTCAGGATGGGAATAGAAAGCTGTTTAAAAACTAGGTTCTCTGCTGGAGGTCGTGTATCATGGAGCTGCATTCTGTGAAAGGACCAAAGAGAGAGTCAAGAGGGTGCTGTTTTCACTTCATGTCTGAATTTGTAAAAAAAATTATTATTCACAACCTCTTTACTTCAGTGGGGGTTTTGTACATGCCAGAAGCTGATATATGGCCTTTTTACCGATTTTATTATTTTCCAAAAAGTTTCGTGCAGCTGCATATAAATTTGAGCAGCGCTAGGAGAAAGTTACATGTGCAGTGTTTGAGCAAAGTCCTGAGTGGGTGCTGTATGTGTAGTCACTTCAAATCATGTGCCTGTTGGTTTCACTGGGAGTAAGGACAAGCACATATTACATTGAAATTTCCAGTAAAAAGCTATTGTAACTCCCAGCTTTGTTATGGAGTAAATGAACCATATAGCTGAAAAAATACCTTGTTCTACAGGCAGTAAAATAAATTTGATGCTGATTTTGAGAGTAATTTGCACCTTTTTTATTCAGGGTAAAACCACAGGTCAGGAATACGATTCTATAAAATGATCGCTCTCTTGATTTTAGCATTTTTTTTGAAGAGCTCATTTCCACATCTCTTCCTTCAGTGTGTCCCTTTTGGCTTGACTTCTAATTGTAGTATAGACTTTTACTATTTAGTTGGTTGGTGTTGGAGAATACTACTTGTTCATCAAGGAGATTATCTGGGAATGAAATTTCAAATTTTTATACTTCTCTGTGCTTTTTTTTAAAACCCCCCAAATGAAAAAAAAAAAAAAGTGCAGGTTCTGTGTGATGCTGAATGCGTCCTGCTGGCTGTTGAGTGATGTTAAAGTTGAAAGGAATTCTAAACACTTGGCGTTTGCTGGGATTTACCAAATCTGGGGTTATTACATGCTATTTTCGTGCAGTTCAGCAACTTTCTGTTACTGTTCTGCTTCATGTACCAGAGCCTTTTTTTAGAGGGAAGATTCCTGGGTTAATCTATAACAAACTGTGTTCCCACTGCATTGGACCAGCAGGATAACTGGCTTTAGTTGGCAGTTCTTGTTTTTTTTAATAATAAAAAATTAATGAAACAGAAGTGCTTGCCCATGCTATTTTGCTGTATGTTTTGCTGCCAAAGTTTGAAATTTGATAGTTATTACTCTAAACTGGGCGCATTTCCTAGTAATCCAGTTATTATTTGGTGATGTAAATCACAATATTGGTGACATGACAATCTGGAACACTTTTTTTGGCAGGATTAAGCAGAAATGGAGGAAGTACAAAAATTCTTGTAGATCCCCTCTCCCTTCTTATTTCTCATCTCTTCACTCAAATCCTCGGAACAGCGAATTCCTGAAATAATGTGGTGACTAGAAACATGTTGAAGTTTGGGTTGGTGCTACAGCCTCAAAATAGCTTTTAATTATGTTTCAGAAACCCAGTGTGTTCTGTTCTCTAAAAATATAATAAAACAAGGTAGTTCCGCTTTGCATTCTGAAATGCACTATTTAAAGTCTCCATTAAGACATAATCATGCTTCCCTTCATGTCAGTGGGTCTAGAATATCAAACTCCTAGTGAGAATTGGTGAAATGATCTGTCTTTTTATCAGAGGGCTGCTTATATTTTTTTCAAGACAACCTGAGTAATGTATTTAGGAGGAAAACTTGCCTGCTGTTTCTTTTATTTAGTAAAGCCTGTAACAAATGTTACAAAAACTGTTGTGAAGTTGCCAAAGATGTGTTGTTCTTCTGTTTTCTTTATCCCTTTCTTTGCACATACACTTTTTTGTGCTTGAAGTAGTGATGAAACGGGCTTATTTCCTGGTGTGCATCTGTACTTTTAAAACAAACTACCTAGATTCAGAAACCGAGAAATACACTAAATTTTCTAAACTTGCCAATCTGTCTGTAAGACCGGTAATGAGCTCAAAGCAAAGCTTTGTCTTCAATTAACACGTGGAGGGTCAGTTCACATGTAATCCCACTGTGCGTGATTTGAACAAAAGCATGTCTTTTTGTTCATTATTGCCTAAATGATTCATGGAATAGCACACAGCTATAGGCAGTCCTTGTGAAGGATTTGATGGATACACTTAGAGTATTGAAAATTACTAGTCTTTATTTTTTTTTCTTCTTTAGAAACTTAATTTTGTTCTCTTTTAGAATGGGGCAGAGTACAAGTAAATGATCTGTTGTTTCCAAAACAAAATTTCCAAAAAGCACTCAGTAGGTGAATATCTGGCATGTTGTTCATTGTGATCCAATAAAAAAGTTGGTGCATTCAGCCTCCTCTTCCTGTGCATCTATTCTGGTTGCTGTTGATGGCTGACAGAAAATGGATCCATGGCATTTATATCAAGTGAGTCTGTCAAAGATTTCCTAAACCCTAAGGTCAGTACTCAAAGATTGATATTTTAGTATGAAATATTTTGAAAACCTTTTAAGATAATGCTGATAACATTAGTTATTAAGTAGAATAACAACACGTGGGTTCGTGTGAGTGACTGTAGTTCTGTAGAGTCTTACTTTGCATTCTAATTTTAATTTAGAAATTTGACCTATCCAACTTGGAACTCTTGCAGTGCTTTATAAAAATGATCTGTACATTGAACTTGTAAAATTCAGTACATAGCTTGTTGTCTGTAGTTAACGCAAATGTATTTGCATGTAAGCAGTTTGATTCCTTTGAGGAATAACTGCTTAATATTCAGTATTGACATAAATCCAAAGGCACAGTTGAAATATATTGCCACATTTAAAAAAAAATTAAAAAATTGCTAATATCTTTTGCCAGCTGCTATGCGGAGCTGCAAGGACAATTTGCTCCTTCATGTTTTAGAAGAATTTGCTAGTGACCTCTGTATTTAGGTTAGCTTGCTTAATGTTTCCCATTATATAAAATTAATGCAGACCCTTTCTGAGCAGCTCTATCACCTCTATTGTCTGCAGCAGGCCTTTGAAATTTGGCAAGGAGAAAGCCCTGAGACTAAGATGAGCCTTTTGGTTGGCCTGTTATTGAAATATATACTTTTCTGAAATTGCTGTTTTCCTTGCCTTGCTTGCAAACCTCCAGGGCAGCTGTTGTGGTGGGGGGTCTCTTCACATGTTGAGTACTTTGGGATTTCCTCAAAGTCCTAGTCCCAGTGACTCTTTATTTTCTCCCTTCTTTACTCAGGTAAAGAAGGGAACGTGGGAGAAAAGAATGAGTGAAAGCAAGCATGCGACAGGGTTGCACAGTCATTATTCCAGAGTCAGTGTTTCTTCCTGTGGTCTAGCTGATGTTAGCAGCAAGTAGTCTTACTCCTGTAGTTGAGTTTATGTATGTTCTTGCTTCCTGATAACAGTTAGAAGCTTAAACCTTGATGTGTGGTGACTTGGTGTTGCAGTTGCTCATAAGGGGATCGGTTTTCCCCTTTTTAATTAAAAGAAAAACACAAATTAACTTCCCCTTCCCCCTCTGCCACAAAAGTCCCTTGGGAAGCTGCTGTTAAAAAAAAAAATAAAAAAAATCAATCGGCTAAATGAACACTATTCCTTTGCAAAGTCTAGTATGAAAAATACCAGTTTGCAGGATGTGTATCCTCAGTGTATTTTGGTTTCTTGTACGTATGTATATGATAGAGTTTCTACTTTCGTAGGTGGTGCATTGTGGTGTATTTTCCCCAAGAAACCGATGTAGTTGGTGCATAAAATAATCTCAAAATGGTAGGCATGAAGGTTACAAGTGCAACCTTTATCTGGAATATTCTGTTGCAGGCAGCCTTGACAATACTATCCTGATGCTCTGTTTTCTTGACACAAAAAAAGCCAGTCGCTACCCTCTACCAAAATCCCCTTCTTGCAATAGAAGCCATAAACGTGGTGGGACAACAGGATTCAGTCCTGGAATAAGATATGGGCCTGTTTGGAGCTCCTAGTGGAATCTGGTTTTATATATCTTTTGTGCCCTTTTGTGTCAAACTACTGTTTGGCATGACTAAGGGGAGAACAAAGCAGCCAGCACTACTTCTCTTTACCTTTGAAGCTAGATTAACATTCTTAATGGAATTAAAAAAACCCAACAATGTATTGTCTGAAACAAATGGGCAAACAATGTATATGGAAATGGTTGATCAAGTGGCTGTTAAGTTTGAGATGGAAAAGGTAAAACAAAGAACAACATACGTCATCTTCAGTAAGGGGGCACATGTCTGACCTGTGAAGAACTTTGTGCAGGTGGATCCATAGCCCTATGCACAGCTAGTTATGGGATTGTAACCTTTTAAAATGTGAACTCTTAGTGGCAGCAGGGTTTCCTTACGATTGTTGTGCATGGCTTTGCTATTTGTAAGCAAGGTGTGAAGTGCATTTATCATGATTCAATGGACCTTACATTTTTGAGAAGCATTTGATGAGATTCTCATGCTGCTCGCACATGCAATGGCTTCCTACCTGGCAATTCATGTGACTGGTTAGCATCTGTGCTTTCCAAATTGCAAAGTGATGGCTGAAGAAAGGCAGCTTTGGAAGCTTGGTGCTGAGAAGGTGCTTATGGCAGAGACTGTATCCTTCAAGGAGTGGGGCAGACAGAGCTGTTAA